TTTTTCCAAGGATATTAACACGAACACGACACGAAACATAACACGACACGATCACATAAACAATACACATTGACACCCAGACTCCTAGCACTGTTTGTGGTTAGATTTTTCAAAATCAAGTTACACAACATGAATTTAATTCAATTTATGGTTCGGTCTTGGTTTAATTCTCAAATTGAGGTCGTGTTGAGTTTATATTCAGTTGACTAACGAAAATTTTTTTCTAGCGTATATAATACGGCACGGGACAAAGTTATGTGATGTGTTTGCTTAATCAAAAACTGTCACAACACTAATCCGCCAGACATAAAAGTTGGTGTTTTTTTTAAAAAAAAAAAAACGTTATGACAAATTTACAAATAACAGTAATTCCTTGCAAGAGTATAATAATTTATGAGCAACATACACCACTAACAAAAAAGAAAAAATTCTCCTAAGTTACATCCATAAGCTTGTCAACAATCTCAAGTGGTAGTCAGAAAAAAAATGTAAATTCAGATGTCCTGATTTTAAATTTTGACAATCTTTTGTGGATGTGTTATAATGAATATCTTAGTCTTAACGTAGATGATCTGACTTTGACCTGACCAAAAAAAAAGATTAGTTGAGATGCACATATCTTAGTCTCATCATTATGTCATTAAATTATTATTATTTTTTAATTTTTTTATGTCATCAAATTAAATCAAATTTTTAAGTTCAAATAATATTACTAAAATTTATTTGTCCAACGAAATAATTTCTAGCATGTATAAATACGGCAGGCGGGACAAAGTTATCTGATGTGTACCCAACAAAAAATTATTACAACACTATTTTGCCAAATATAAAAATTGACATTTTCAAAAAAAAATAAATGGAAAATTTACAAATAACAGTAATTCATTGAGAGAGTATAATAATTTTTGAGTAACATACACCACCAACATAAAAAAAATTCTCCTAAGTTACATCCATAAACTTGTCCAAAATGGTAGTAGAAATAAACTATAAATTCAGATATCCTGAGTTTGAATCTTAACAATCTCTTAGGACAAAGTTATAATGAATACTCTAGTTTTAATGTAGATAATATGTCTTTGCCCGAACCAAACAAAAGATTATTTAAATTGTACATAATTTGACACAAACACCTTTAATAGTTCAAAAAAAAAAAAAACCAGGTTTACTCAACATTAGAGGAAAAGTCATAGGATGGGCACCGACTTCAATCAGCAGTTCAAGAAGAATATCTGAGAACGTGGGGACTTGTCAGGTAGAAAAATTAGAACAGTGTGAATGGTGTTTAGTTTGGTGCTAATATTCCTTGTATTTGGTCACCAACTGGTATAGCACTTTGCCAATATCCCTCATCCATTCAGGTTCTCTGTATCAATTTGGAGTTTTTTTTTTTCTTATTCTACACAGATTTCCAATTTTAACTGCAAAGTGAAAAAAAAAAAAATTTTTTTAAAAATTAAAAAAAAAATCTTTTTTTGAATTACACAAAAATATTGATTTGTAGCAACTGATTATAAAAATACTAAAATAGTATAAATTACTAAAAAAAAATTATCCCTGAAAAGTGGTGGCATTAGATGAAAAGTTGTATTAAAGTACCAAAAAATTATGTTTTTAGTTACATTAGCATTAAAGAAAGTAGAATTTTATTGCAGTATCATAATACTATTTTTGGGTATTGTACTTTTTTTTTTTTTTTATATATAATAAAAATGTATTACTTATAAAATTTTTATATTTCATTACTATTTTAGCATTTTTATGATAATCGATTATAAATTATTCAATTTAAAATTAAAGGTACCAGAGATTTATAGTATGCTACCAAAGTAGATATAATATCAAAAAAGTATGATAGATTACCTAGTATTTACCTTGATGCAAATTTCAAGGGGTTAGCCAATGGTAGTTCAGCCACCTAATAAGTCTCTAATGAGATGTAAGTTAGGAGTTTGAATATTCACGAAGCATGGTCCCTTGGGTTATCACCTATAAATTTATTTCATCTGTGTGGGGGGGGGGGGGGGGGGGGG